TTTTTTTTTTTTTTTTTTTTTGCTTGATACAGATTATTCACGAAGAAATGTGTAAATTGTATTTTCTTTTTTGCTCTCCGCTTCTTAAAAATTTGTCAGCAGTTTTGCAACCTTACCATATTCAGCTTCTAAATTGAGAAAGTGTGAATCTTTGTTTCATTTCAGTATAATCGAAAAAAGTTGAAAAAAACGTCGTTGAAAAATTGTCAAAATTGATTTGTTAATTTTTTTTAAAATTTTTGGAGCAGTTTTTGATAATAAAAAAAAAAAACAATACAGTAGTTTGAGTGAAATATTAAGTGCAATATTTTTGCATAATATTTTAGGAGGAAGCGTAGGTAGCAAATGCTGAAAAACAAAGTTGTCTTGCAACAAACACAAAGTACTCGTTATGTATGCAGCCAACTTAATATAAAATAAAAAATTTAATTGCATTTATGACGAACATAACTAAAGGTAATAAAGATGATGATAATAATAAGAGCAACAATTAAAAAAGGAAGTTTAATTGTCAATAAGAAAAGCTATTTTTAACTTTTTAGATTGTCGCCAATTTTGAACGGCAACGGAGAAGCGATAACTTTGTTTACAGCTTTACCAAATATCCCAATACTAATCTTTACAAAAAAAAAATTTTTTTTTCACAGTTACATTGACCTATTTCTAAAAACCACATAAATTTTTATTGGAATTCTGATAAACTCCTTTTTTTTTTCGGTAGCAGTGTGAGATCATAAAGTTATTCTGACAAAAGATAGTGATATAGACATTTCTAGTGTCAAGTAACTGGAAACATATGATTTATTTTTTTTTTGCGAAGAATACCGCAGATTCAGTGCATATTGTGTTACTTCAAACTTTTTGACTCATATTTGTTGATTATATCAATAACAATAACTCTTAATTTCACCGCAATCATTATAAAGCTCATAAGAGTGCTCTGCTACTGTTGTAATAGGTGTGAACTTCGACAATGTGACGAACATAGAAATTTGCTTAGATGACTCATCATTTCTAACTGCAGCATTCAGAAGAACTACTACTTGTTTTAAATACCAGACTAATACTTGGCACCTGAATTTTGTTCACAGCAGTTATAAACCTCATACTGAAAAAGGAATAAAAAAAAATGATCAAAACAAAAGTTATCAAATACGATGGGATTCATACATTTTTTCCAAAAAATTTACCTATTAAAAATTTGTGCAAAATTTGTGCTTCGTCACAATACTACCGTAGCGCATCTGCTTGGCCAAACACATTGCACTGCGAATTCGTTAGGTTTAGAAACAAGGAAGAGGAAGAGGATAGGAAACAGGAAGGAACAAAAACAGTTGTAACTAAATCAGTGACAAAGCTTGAAGCTCAAATGTAACTTATACTTTCCTTGAAATTTAGAAGGCTTAGTTTCGCTTTCCTCTTATTGTCATTTTTTTCCGACATTAACATTGATTTACTTATATTTATTTTAAAAAATGAATAAATACAGAGAAGATGTAGAGATTGTAAACCATAAAACAAACTTTTCTAGCCAATCCAATAGCTGATTAGACATCGGAACTTGTACATCGGAACGCTGAGAAGGTGGATAAAACGTCGATAAGTTGTTATGAAAGTGTCCAATAGCTCCTGCAAAATGATAGTAGTAATTTAAGCAATGAAAACAATAATAATGACAGAAACAATACTATTATTAATATTAATATTGATATCGATAATTTCAACAATGTTTTAAAAGTAAATCATTTTTTTTTGCTAACTTTTCTTGACAGCACTTTTGAACAACTAATTTTGACGAATAAACAAATAAAAACAGTTTTTTGCAGATTCAGACTGAAACGTAAAGGCTACAATTTAGTGATGAAATATGCATCAAAAGAATTTCATGACTGAATTTGTTAATATCGAAGTGCAATAAGTGTTCAGTACTTTCAAGAATAACGTTTCTATTGCTCATAAAAAGTTTGAGAAAATTTAGCTAAGGTTTGAAAATGTGTTTAAAAAAAGCACTTTACTTGTTGCTTGATAGTAATTTTAAGAATAAATATAAGTTTAAGCTAAACCAGTTTAAAAATTTAATAGATAAAATAACTGAACGGTCGTTCGTTATTAAAGCACAAAAAAACAAAGACAAAAATCCAGGAGCTTTCAAACTTTTCAGCTTTATTACCGTACAGCTGTCATAACTTATTTCCTCTAAAATGTAAATTAGAAATGTAACTTAAACTGAAATGTAAACTGAAAAACGTATAACTTAAAAATTTTGCTGTATTAACTAAAAATGTGCACTTGGAAAGACTGTTTACTCAACTGCTGGATGCAGGTGAAATTACGCTTAAATAAGCCTTTTATTAAGTTTTGAGTACTGTATTTAAGTATAATATGCAAAGACTTGTTCAGATAATTAATTTACCATCCTGTTCCGACAAAGTGCACATTTACATTTTTTTTTCACAAGTCTTTTAGTCTTTTTTAATTATTACTAGTAAAAGAAAAAGTTTTGCTTATTGCTAAAACTTCTGTACAAGTGCTGAGAATTCCAAAAAATAAAGACCAGAGAACAAAACGTAGGTTGCAGACACCAAAGCAGAAAAAAACAAGTGTAATAATTATAAACAGAAAACAAGTGTAATAATTATAAACAGAAAACAAGTGATGATAATAATAGCCAGCATATCAAACGATATCAAAACTTCAGAATCTGCTTATATACTATCTGCTCAGTTTCTGTAATAAACGTGTTTTTTTTTTTCAACTGAGAATAACACAAAAAAAAAATACAGCAAGGTACTAGCAGCTTTTTTTTAGTTAGTATTATTACTTGTAGTAAGAAAGAAAATATTTTTTAGACAGAACCTTTTGCAACACTGGAAAA